AAGTCACAGTAGGCTGTCATGTACTGTTTGTGTTCAGTTCAGTCATGCATGCGCAGTACTATCTGTTCACCGCTTCTCAAATCTGATCTCAGTGTTCTGTTCTAATTAGGGTTGTAACAATATACCGGTATGACGGTCTACCACGATTTGAACGTGCACGATTATCATACCATGAACAATTGCATATCAACGGTTTGAACCCTTAAAGACCGAGACAGCCGCCCGCGGCTAAAAATAAGTATTGCTCTTAAATGTTTAATAACTTTTGATCCGCTGATCCGATTCATACAGTTCAAAGATTGGCATAAAGAAGAGAGTCTCAGCTTTCCAGTGCTGTATCACATAACATTCGCGGACTTTCAGAGGCTCCGGAATCAGTGCGGTTACGTCATCAACATTTGACAACGCTGATTTGACAAAGAAACGCTCGTCACTGTGTCTCCGGACAAATCAGACATGATACATTGATGCATTGTCCCTCCTCCATGCCCAGATTGGTTCAAACTCGCTATATCACAACCAATAAGCATAGGTTTCACTTTTGTTTGTGGACCAAGCTTTTTGAACAACACGGAATGAGAGATAGGCATACATTTATGCGCGGCTAAATAAAACGCAAAAAAAAAAAAGTTTTGCATGAAATAATTCTCATACTAAGTACTTTTGCATGCACAGCAGCACAGAAACATGACAAAACAGTGACACAGCAAAGACGAACTGCTGCTCTTGCTGTTTTCAAAAGACACAAATGAAGGTGCAGCTGTTTGTCTGCATTGCAGACAACCATATCCAAATCCATATCCACAGACAACCATATCCATGCTGGCACATAAAACCTAAGGATGTTCCATATTGAATCTAGTTTCGTTATGTAACTATTTATAGTATAGTAAATATTTATATCTATTTTTTACTGAGGATTTGCACCATGTTTATTTGGACTTTATTTGGACTTTGACACATTATTTATTATTTTCTTATTTTTTTATTTGTTCATTGTAAGTGGTGTTGTTTATAGTAACTAAAAAATATATTATTTGGAAAAAGTCAAATTTGCTTCACTGTTCTATTATTTTGTAACATTCGTAACATACAGTATACCGCGAAACCATCAAACCGTGGTATTGTTTTAGACGATTATCATACCGTGAAAAATTCATACCGTTACAACCCTAGTTCTAATAACTGAATAACTCAGTATTTATTGGTTTACTTTGAGTCAGAGGGTAGTATCAGGCATGATTAAAAAGTAAGTTGTTTGACGAGAAGAGTTCTTACTGGAGAAGTGAATCGTTTCAAATGATTCAGTTTGATTTAGTGAACTAGTTCAACCGGTTCACTTAAAACAGGGGTGTTCAAACTCGGTCCTGGAGGGCCTGTGTCCTTTAAAGTTTAGTTCCAACCCCAATCAGACACACCTGGGCTAGCTGATCAAGCTCTTACTAGGCTTTCTAGAATCATCCTTGCAGGTGTGTAAAGGCAAGTTGGAGCTAAAATATGCTGGACACTGGCCCTCCAGGATGAGTTTGGACACCCCTGACTTAGATGATCCAGTTAAAAAAGTTTGATCACTAATATAGAAATAAAACCAATTATTAGGCACAGATGTGTTAAAGTAATACTATTAAGTCTGCTAGGGTCACATTTACTGCTATCACCATGCTGCTGTCATGTCCAGCCGTTGTTTTTGTTTTGCGAGGATGACTGGAGGAGGACTTCCCATGTTTTAAAGCTTGCTTAGGTAAATTGTTTCATGTCATACAACTGGAGAGCTTACGCTCCCTGGAGCCCAAATCTCATCTGCAATTTCAAACTGCCCTACAACCCTTTTTAGATTTCCTTAAAACTGAATAGTGTACTACTGCTTTCCCAGTAATGATTGAATTTACTCTGTTGTTAATTCCCGATCTTGCGTTGATTATGTTAAATGTCCCTCACTTGTTGTTTTTTTTTTGTTCTTTTTGTGTTTGTTTTGTGTAGTAATTTTTTTTGTTGGTGGGTGGGGGTGTTTTTTGTCTGTTGTTTTGTTGATATATTATGTAAAACTGTTTTTAAGTATATATTAAAAAACACTGGGCTGCACAAAGTAAATAGATTTACTTCTAAAAGGCATACAGTATGTATTAAATACATTTAGAACGTTTTTGCTATAATTTTAGCTAGTTTCAGTTACGTTTGTATGTACACAGTACAGATTTAGTTCTAGTTTTTTAAAAACTCATTTTTATTATTATTTCAGTTCACGAAAATGTTTTTAAATACTGATTTTTTTGTTTTTTCATTAGTTTTCGTGAACTGTATGAAATAAATTCATATCGCAATATAAATGGAAGGAAAATAAAATATCGCAATGTCAGGTTTTTCCAATATCGTACAGCCCTACGAGAAAATTTCAATTGATTCAACTAAGCAATTTAAGGCAGTAAGAGTTTATTTTAAAGTGTATGATCAACTGATGAGTCAAGAAAGAGATGCAGTAGGTTTTTCATGTCAAAGGTCAAGTTGAATTGAATTGAATTGCAGTGTTTGTTTACTTCACTTGTAAGCTGCAGATGTTGTAGGTCGTGTTGGTTTTTCATGCTTACACTGTATGCCATTATTAGCCTACATATCACATACTGAAAAACAAGTATAGTAGTATTCCCTTAAAAACAAACCCAGGCATTAACGTTCCCTCTGTAGTAAACCTCAGAACATGTTCAAACACGTCATTATTAATGCATATGGTACCTAGTGCATTACGTATACGCACCATTCAAAGGCTCAGCTCTAGCATGGAGTTCTGCTATGTACACACAGTAGTTATTGTTTGGCACTTGTCTGTTGGCTCTGCTCTAAGTGGAGGGGACGTGGCCATCATTACACAGCAAAGGGAATCTTAAACAGCAGCTGCAGATTTTTACAGCCTTGTTTCGTCTGCATGCACCACCCCCACCCTCACCCTCTCTCCTCTCCGTCGGTTTGCACAAGAAAATATTTCCAGATGTTCCAAGAAAAGACCTCTATTTCAGCGGCAAGGTTTGTGTGAGGTTCACAAGTCATGCCAGAGGCGGAGTATTATTGGAGGATTGAGGCTAGAGTATGTGGTTATGATGTCAACTGCTCCAAATCGGACATAGGTCACTCTGTCTGTCTTTCTGTCTGTCTGTGATCTACTTTTCTATATATCTATCTGTCTGTCTATCTACCTGTCTGTCTGTCATCTTATGTCTGTTGTTAACTTCTATCTATCTATCTCTATCCGTCCATCCATCTGTCTACTTTTCCGTCTGTCTTTCTATCGTCTACTTTTGCATCTGTCTATCCATCGTCTAATTTTCTGTTTATCTGTCGTCTACTTTTCCATCTGTCACTCTATTGTCTACTTTTCCATCTCCCTGTCTATCGTTTACTTTTCCGTCTGTCTCTATTGTCTACTTTTCTGTCTGTCTCTATCGTTTACATTTCCATCTGTCTGTCTATCATTTACTTTTCTGTCTGTCTCTATCGTTTACTTTTCTGTCTGTCTCTATAGTTTACTTTTCCATCTGTCTGTCTATCATTTACTTTTCTGTCTGTCTCTATCGTTTACTTTTCTGTCTGTCTATGGTTTACTTTTCTGTCTGTCTCTATAGTTTACTTTTCCATCTGTCTGTCTATGGTTTACTTTTCTGTCTGTCTATGGTTTACTTTTCTGTCTGTCTCTATAGTTTACTTTTTCATCTGTATGTCTATGGTTTACTTTTCTGTCTGTCTATTGTTTACTTTTTCTGTCTGTCTCTATTGTCTACTTTTCCATCTATCAACTACTTTTCCATCTGTCTATCTGTTGTCTACTTTTTCTATCTATCTATCTATCTATCTATCTATCTATCTATCTATCTATCTATCTATCTATCTATCTATCTATCTATCTATCTATCTATCTATCTATCTATCTATCTATCTATCTATCTATCTATCTGTCTGTCTGTCTGTCTGTCTGTCTGTCTGTCTCTCTGTCTGTCTCTCTGTCTGTCTTTCTACCTACCTACCTATCTTTGTATCTGTCTCTATCATCTACTTTGTCTGTCTCGTCTACATTTGTATATGTCTGTCTACCTGTCTGTTTGTCTGTCTGTCTGTCTATCATCTACTTTTGATCTCTGACTATCTGTATAAATGTCTTTATGTCTATCTCTGTCTATAGCGCGCTGCTATCTTTTCTAAGTGTTTAATCTGGTTGAGGGTGTTGTGGCACTCATCGCTGAAGGCATTGCGTCTGGAATACGCATCTGTTTCAGTCCTTTTCTGGCTGTTGAACGGCTGCCAGGAATATTGCGCTGCTGCGTGTTTTCTATTGGCTAAAGTCTCTGGCATTACTCAACAGGTTAGTCAGTCTTAAATGGTTTAGGAAGGGGAGGTGTTTTTCCTCTGGTGCTGCTGTTGCGCCTCTGGGTCTGACCCAATGTGCCACTGCATTTAATCGTTAGTGCGGTGTATTCCTTTGATGTGATATGATATACAGTAATTTGCTCCATACGTACGCGTGTCTGATGTCCCTCATTAGTTAGTCTCTTTAGATAAAAGCCTTGGTTAAATGACTACTTGTACATAATATAATCCTAGAGTACTTTTTGATTAGGTAATACCAAAGCTTTCCAGAATAACATCCGTCTATTATTCTTTTTAGGTACGCGCTGTCGGTTTAATATGCTATTAAATGTAATTAGTTATGCAAAACATGTTTGTTTTAACTCTAGGCTACTTTCAGTTTCATAATAGATGATTTTAAAGTATCTTTGATATAGTCATGTTAAATATATTGATCATAGAAACAAATTAAATCTGAAAGAAGCACTCAGTTGTCAGAAATTCTCATTTGAATTTGTGATTTACCACTAATATCTTGAAATATCATTACCAGGAGCAAAATATCATGATAATATCGTATTATCGGAATATGTGGTTCCCACCCCAACTAGAAATGGATATATTACTTTTGTCGTCCATTTTTCTCAAACCACTGTCTTCTTTTCCAGATCCCGAACAGAAGAAAGTGCCTTCTCTAACGACGTTTCTACTTGAAGCTGCTCACCGTTCCCATCCTAAACTGTAAACAACACTGGCTTGGCCACCATTAAGATCTCCATTCCCTTTAGACTTGCCAAAGCACAAGGAACTGACACGCTCTTTCCATTATTAGATATCGTTTCAAGGAAAGCCATTGCCTTCAGATAGAGTCATCCGCAACCGTCTGGCTCAAGAACGTTTGGAGACCTGGAGCATGTTCTTATTGTCGCGCCAGTGTTGTGCACCTGGGACTAAATGACTGATGAACAACTTGGCAGAGATTGACAGCTTCACTGATAGCGGGCATCTCCAATGCGACAGCCACGGGGGCTCTGAATGTGACATCTCTATTTAAAGGGCCTCGCCAAACAAACTGAGACCAACCTCAAAAGTACAGCAACACACAAACGCGCAGACTATTTCAACCCAAATCAACAGACAACATTCACAACACAACTATGGCTTTAAACATCGCATCGATACGAGACACAAAATGGCTGACTCTGGAGGTGTGCCGGCAGTTTCAGAGAGGGACGTGTTCGCGCAGCGACGAGGAATGCAAATTCGCACATCCGCCCAAAAGCTGCCAGGTGGAGAACGGACGGGTGATCGCCTGCTTCGACTCGCTGAAGGTAAGAGTGGCAGATTATTTGGTGCAGATTTCCTTTAGCTAATCCCAAAGGACTATTCTGTATATTATATAATTAAACATCTTTATTTATGATGCAGTATGTTTGCCTGAGGGTAAATCACTGCTTCGTGGCCTTTTTTTTTTTGGTTCATTACATCATTGATTGATGGATTTTACCATTAGAGCAGAAAACAAGGAAATTTGTATTTTTAAAATGATGGTAGTCAACAAATATATAAGTTTCATGTATATTTACATTAGAGTTCGAATAGCTTAGACTCAATCTTTTCATCCTTTGTTGAGGATAGACATTATTTTGACAATTTTTTGTTTATATATATATATATATATATATATATATATATATATATATATATATATATATAACAGGGTTATACACTGGTAAAAACACTATTTCATGACTTCCATTGTTTGCATTAAACCAGGGGTGCCCAAACTTTTTTGTACGAAGGGCCAAAAACCAAATATCATTGATATCCATGTGGACCAAAGATAAATACCAAACTATTTTACCTTAAAACTGCCATGGGTGTTAACTAACATAGTCTAACTTTTTTGATTAGAACGTATTGCAATAAAAAAAACAATCACATTTAAAACACAGTGGAGATCAATGCTGAATACACTAGTCAAGCAGAATCTGCCTTTGCCTTGATTCTCTCACCAAAGTCTTTGCAGTGTTCTCTATTCATCGTATGTACATTTTAAACTAAATCTAATTAATTTACACCATTTATGTTGAATTATTTAAGCTCAGATAGCTTTGTTGTAGCGAAACAATAAGACAAACAAGTATAAGGTTACGTTAATTTTGAATCTCCAAACCATTCTCAGATGGCATGGTGAGCCAAATCAAAGGTTACCATGGGCCAGCTTTGGCCTGCGGGCTCTAGTTTAGGCATCTCTGCATTAAACAGTTTACAGCAAAAGACACCAATGTTTTATAAATAACACACCAACTTGGCATGGAGGAGCCGGAAGTAGGGCTGGGCGATATGGCAAAAAATGCAATCTCGAATAATTATGTTCCATATTGAACAATAACCATATATATTTCAACATCAGTTTTTAATGCTAGCAGATTTAAAAGACAGGGTATCCATGAGGTCTTAAAATGTCTTAAAAAGTGGTAAATTCACTGAAATGTTGTGTTGTATGTCTTAAATCATTTTAAACATTCATTCATTCATTTTCTTGTCGGCTTAGTCCCTTTAATAATGCGGGGTCGCCACAGTGCAATGAACCACCAACTTATCCAGCATATCCACAACCCATCCCTGGAAAACATGCACACACACTCAGACATTATGGACAATTTAGCCTACCCAATTCACCTGTACCGAATGTCTTTGGACTGTGGGGGAAACCGGAGCACCCGGAGGAAACCCACGCGAACGCAGGGAGAACATGCAAACTCCACACAGAAACGCCAACTGAGCAGAGGTTCGAACCAGCGACCTTCTTGCTGTGAGGCGACAGCACTACCTACTGCGCCACTGCATCGCCCTCATTATTAAACAGGTCTTCATTTTTCTTTGTCCAAGTAAAGCTACTTATCGGGCCGACATCCATCCAATCACCAACAATCCATCTTAATGAACTCAGGAAAAGAAAACAAAAAATATTACACAGTTTTTCTGTGCACCCAGTGATATGGTGATATTTAGTTATGTCAGTTAGTGTGCATTTATCAGAGAACAATTTTTAAAAAAGGCAAATAATATAATGAAAAAGCAGCAATTCCATTGGCAAATAATGTACTACTTGTTTCTGATGCAGTTTACTACATTCTGTTTTTTATCTGCAATATCACATTCAGGGTGAATATGCAATGCATTTTAGTGCCAGAACTATTTGTTTTATATGATGTAATTTCCCTATTGCATGTTCTTTTTCTTGGTTTTATTAAACAGCACATTTAGTGCATGATAAAAATTCAAAAATACGATAATAATAATAAAGCAAATGGCTCATTCCTGTGGAATTGCAGCTACATATGTACATTATATTTGCATTTATATCTTTAAACACAGTTTATCCAATCTAAATATTCTCTAAAACTCTGATTGCCACGCTAAATATTATATTTCATGAGTGTAACTGACAGCTGTTTATGTTGCAGTTTAGCTAGTTGGCCAAGTATATTGATTAATTAAAACAAATCTGGATCTGTTTGTTTTATAATATGTTCTTTTACATCGATTACAATACATTAACACCATTTTTGACTGCTGATCAATTTCGAGCTGATAATTATAATGTAAATGAGGCTCGCAAACTTGCTGCACCCTGTAATTGCCCAAGCGATCGTCGACAATTTTTTGAGGATACTTTTTGTGTTGCTGGCAAATAGCTTGTCCTAGTGCAGCACTCTCAAATTAGAGTGCATGTGTCAGCTCTGCCACACTGCATACTGCACACTTCAAATAAAGCTGACCTATAGAGACCGAAAGGGCAGCGCTGCTCTCATCCAGGCAGTTTTATATCTTTCCATCTAACATTACCATGCCACGTCCGTCATTTATACGGCCTGCCGGTGGGTTTCCATGAACGCTTGTGCTGTTTTTAGAGGCTTGACCATATGCGAAACAAACAATAACACGAACACAGTGAGCTTTGTGGTTCAATCGATAAACTAGATGATGCACTTGCACATAATTGTCATTTTTTTCTGTCTTTGAGTTTCCCAAAACCATTAGACGTTTACAACAGGGAGCATTAATGTAATATATTTCAAAAGCATTTTAGTTTGAAATTACAGTAGCACATAATGGCATTCAAGATTTAGTGCATGAATCAGTTCATACTTATATTAAAACTGGACTTTCGTGCATTTTAATGTTTTGTGCACATATTTCATATAACATCAGCTGAATATAATAATATATAATTATATAATTAATTATAATTAATTATATATAATATATATAATAATACGTCAGATACATATTTTTAATGATGCATTTAGTTATTGGTGCTAATGTAGTAATGGTGTTTTTCATCATTCACCCATTGTTTTTAGATTAGATAAATTTAAAGATGCATGCTTCAATGCATGTGTTTAAGTATGTAAAGCAAAATAATATGCTAATTAGTCCAGCTAAAATATTTTAAACTTTAAGATTATATAATATATAAGAATTAAAGCAAGATGTTGCCCAGTCAACCATCATTGACCTCCAGTATTTTTAGTATTAAAATAATTTTAATATTGAGATTATATTAATAGTTTATCTATCTATCTATCTATCTATCTATCTATCTATCTATCTATCTATCTATCTATCTATCTATCTATCTATCTATCTATCTATCTATCTATCTATCTATCTATCTATTCATCCATCCATCCATCCATCCATCCACCCATCCTAGTCTGTCTGTCTATACATCAGTCTGTCTGTCCGTCTTTCTTTCTTTCTTTCTTTCTTTCTTTCTTTCTTTCTTTCTTTCTTTCTTTCTTTCTTTCTTTCTTTCTTTCTTTCTTTCTTTCTTTCTTTCTTTCTTTCTCATTTTGTTTATCCATCCATCTGTACATCCATTCATCCATCCAATGATATTGTCTGTTCTTTATTTATTTATCCATTGGTCTAACCCTATGTAATTCTGTCAACCTATTCATCTTTTTGGTCTATCATTCATCCTTTGTGCTTATCATTCTGTTCATCCATCCATCCATCCATCCATCCATCCATCCATCCAACCATCCATCCATTCATCCATCCATCTATATATACATACATCTATACATTCATCTAAACGTCTATATATACATACATCAGTGTTTCCTCTAGGATTTTTTCCAGCTTTTTTACACAGATCTATCAACTACCTATTGTCGTGAGCACAGTATTACAAGTCGAGATCGCATTCATGTAATACAAGCATGCGGATCTCTTTGCTTGCACGCCGATTTCCTCTGTTCGTGCACAAAACTTTTTGCATGCCCTCAAATATACGCTACTCAAGTGCATTTGCTGAAGTGTGATTTTGTGTGTTTTTGTAACGAGCATGTCTTTAACATTTATTAGATTGGCTAGAAATATTTATGAATGCCTCCAGTAGATGTACAGAGCGGCGTTAATGCGTCCTGAAGTAGAGTGAAATATATATTGATCATTTTAATCTCAGTCATAGTTTTAGCAATGTTAGTACAATTTAAACCAAGTAAAAATGAGAAACGCTTTTGTTGTATTTCTGCAAAATTGAGCATTTTTAATTTAATAATTGACATTATCATCTTAGCCACACTCTTTAATGAGTGAGTTTTGCACAGACAGGCATCGCTTTTTGTAAATGATGAATATTGTAATGAATAATATGATTATATATAACTTTAATTATGAATTAATTATTGGTGTCTTCATCAGTTTCTTTCAAAGTGATCTCAGAGTGATCTTCTAGTTTAATCTGGGTCACGTAACGCCTAAACACAGATGGTCATGAGGCGAGCGGCACGGCATCTAGCATGTTTTAATGCAGTGGAAACACTGCGCCGATGACATTGACAAATGCGCAGTAAAACTGGAGCAGGTCCCATCTCTCACGGGAATAATAGACTTAAGATGCTATTTACCTTCATGTGCGCTGCAGTCCCGGCCTTCAAAAAAAACAACGAATCATCAACAGCTTACATGCTCTCTGCCGTTTATCACACAAATTAGGCAAGGTCACGGTGTAGGTCAGTGTCAGAGGATTGTGTTACGAGCGCTTCAGGCCACAAGGCATGAGGGGGATATCAATACAGTCAACCCATGAGCGAGCATGTAGAGTTTGCATAGAACTGATGTTTTGAACGTTGCATTATAATAAGTGATCTTTCTTTTTAGTGTTGTCTCTGATTCTTTTTTTAGTCTCTAATTCATTGCATTTTATTTACTTTCAGATGCATAGTAGTCAACAATTGAATTGAATCATCACCTTTCATCTAAAACTATTGACCATTTTTGATTCACTTTGAATGTTGACTGCTGTATATTT